CCAGACCCGGCACCCAGGGGTGTGCAGGGACAGGGTGAGCAGGATCACCGTAGTCTCAGTGGCTTCCCACACCAAGGATGGCAGTGGGGCATTTTGCAAGTTTGCAACCCCTGACCAGTGTATGGGTTGAGCAGGCATTAAAGCCACAGAGTTACAGCTCACTGTGTCGCTGCTGCATAATCAGTATGGGGGATCCTCGAAGCCGCTGGGGTGGCCCCCTGTGTCTGCATTGCAGGATGCATAGGCCATTGTGCAGCTCTTGGGGGTCCCCCCCAGGGGGGCAAAACCCAGGATGAAAAACAGTAAATGGAGATGGAAACATGCCAAACACAGGCCCCCTGCAAGGGAGATCAGAAACCACTTTGGGGCACAGCAATAGCCTAGCTATGGCACTGGCTAGCCTGCATGTGCTCCATACTGGAGCTCACAGGAGACCCTACTTGAGTCTTGTGAATCATTCTAACTCATTGCTGCCTTCTAAAGCCTCCTAGACTCCTGGTGAAGCCAGGTGGGTTTGTATCCAAGTAATTGTTCTCCAGCTGCAGGATCAGACACTGCCAGAATTTCTTATCCTGCAGCATAAGAACAGCCTTGGGATCCTAATCTTGCTGCATGGTACCCCATCACCCCAGCAGCTTGGTCTGTTCCTGCATCCCAGTCCCTCACACTCTCTGAACTTCTCAATCACCATTTTTCCCACTTAACCTTTCTCAACCCATCCATAGACTAGGGGAGACCTGGAGGATCTGGTGGGCTGCCTGTTGCTGTTGATGCTGGACTGTGGGAAGGGGGAAGGTAGGGGAAGGTAACCCCTCTTCATGCCAGGATGCTGGGGGCTTCGCATGTGCACTGAGCTGCCAGCAGGACTCAGCAGAGAAGCTATGAAGCTCCTGCAGTCCTCTGGGTGGAGAGGCCCTGATCAAGGACAGAGTTCTGGGGCAGTGTCACCTGGTATCTAGGTCAGGTACTAGGGTGGCATGAACTCAGATCTTTCACTTTACTGCAGGCCTGACAGAGATGCTGCCAAGTGCTGGTGTCTATTACTTTCCATGGGAGATCAACAGTTCAGTCCCAGAAGGGGAGGCACTAAGAACGTTTGGCAGGTGAGAAGGGTACACTGCCCTCCTTGCAGGCCAAGCTTTTCCTTCACTGGCTGACCCCAATCCCTTTGTAACTGTTGTATCTCCGCACTGCTGAGCTTCCCAAATCAATCATTCCCAGGTTATGCTGCTATGACCTTGCCCGCTCTGAAGCTGTTCTCACCGCTCAGCACAGCTCAGCTCAGTACCAGGTTTGTGTCGACACCAAGTTTGTGGAGCCATTCCAAGCCCAGCTGGGATCTCGCTACATGGTCCTGGGAGAGGCTGAACATAGGGAAGGTAAATGCTTCAGGCACCAGTGCCCTTTCCTGTTTGCTGTTCAACAGCTTCTTCATGGCTCCCTGTGTGCACAGTGAGACATGCTGTCACTGAGGTTGGCGTTGGCCGAGGCAAGCTCTGGTCACACAAGCGTGTGATTTAGGGCAGGAGCAGCCTGTCTCTCCCCATTGACCATGAGAAGAGCCGCCACCATTATTCTGGTGAAAATCCAATGCTCTGGCACAGATTCTGTTCTAAAAAAGAAGCACCTCAGCAGCATTGCTGAGTTGGTGAAAGCTGCAGTGGAACCTCCTGGCATCACTGCCAGCCACCATATCATCTTCACTCCAAACATGGCTGATTGCAGCAATACCTCACTGTGAGCTGGGGGCTGATCTTTGCCATCCTTGAAAGGCTCTAATTATATCCCTGCCCTCAGACATGGGGCGTGAGGAATGCAGCAGGCTCTGTTGTGTAACAGGGCACCCTGTTATGTCCTTTCCTGGGTGCCCTGAGCATTACTCCAGCTGCACAGCTCTTTGCCTGGGGACTTGATCTGGGCTGGGCTGTGCGGTTGGGAAGCAAATCCCAAGTGTTGTCTTGCCCACACCTGGCAACAAGCATTCACATTCATGCCATTGAAACCCTCAGTGGCATGTGGAACACCACACTGCACATGGCATTGAGTGAGTAACCAACTAAGCCACTGCTGCAGAATTCCTTTAGAAAGACATACTGCTTTGTTTATGACAGCTTAGGAGTGAGTTGTCCCCATTTTGCAGGGGTAGAAGGGGAGCAGGCTGAGATGGTGGCTGTGTCACCAGGGTTTGGCCTCTTTTGTGCATCTCTCTTACCATTTGAATGCTACCAACGAACTGTCAGTTATAGTCAACATTGAGCCTGTTCTAAGACCAGCTTTGTTCTGTCCTTGTCTGCATGGAGGCATTCAGAAATGAGCTTAGAACCCATCCCTGGTGCTTTTCAGACAGGGAAATCCAAACTTCATCCAGTCACAAAGTATACAGGTGCTGCATGGTAGGCATTGGCATGTCCTAGGCTCAATGTTCCCCAGTGCCCGGAGAGCACGGTGTCAGCATTTTGTAGCCAACAGAAGGAAAGCACATCACTAAATTACCCTGCTCCTGGGCCTGCTGCTCATGTTGGTGGCTGGTCCAGTCTCCTGCAAGTTCTCAGGCTATGATTATTTGGCCAGCTGGAGCCATATGCTGCCTGTAGGAACCTCTCTGTTTGCCTCCGAGCTGCTCCATCTGGTTTTCTTTATACAGAAACTTATTATTTTTCCCAGGTGAGGGTCCCGTGGTAAAGGCACGAATATTGACCTGCGTGGAAGGGCTGAACGTGCCCTTGCTGGAACAAGCCATACAGGAGCAGAGGAAATACTTCAGCAAGAGGCAGGAGAAGATGGGAAAGAGCACGTCCTGACAGCAGCTCTGAGACCAGCCATATGCTGGTCCTTGCACTGCCATTTGCAACAGCTATGTTAAAAGTAAATTTAGAAGGTGGGTTTGTGACATACTGAGGTTTGCTGTGGTAAATAGCAAAGTCAAGTCACGATGAGGGAAACACTTGAAGACTGTGTGAGTCAGTATGTGCCTGTGGGTTGTCCGTTCATGCAGGTGTCATCACTGAAAATAACCTCTGGGAAGCAGGTTGGTTTGTTTAAAAAGGGCGGTTAAGGAAAGGGAGCACTTGGGTTATACTGGTCCTTTTGTAATGCAAGGCTTGGAGAGATCAGAAACAGGGGAAGTCTCTGAACCTGGAGTTGAGCAACTTACTCTCAAAGCTCAGCAGCTTATGGGCTGTTGGCAGACAGAGGGTGAAGGGCATTAGCACAAAGTTCATGAGCCCTGTGTGGCTGCAGGTCCATGATTCCATGTGTTCGGTTACCATGACTCAGCTTCCATACAGGAGCGTTCCTGGCAAAACACTCACGGATCTGGGCTGAGCAGCAAAGAAACAAGAAAAACAAAGAGTTACTATGTCCAGCAGCACTGCCTCTTCAACTTGACTTTCTTCCTTGACACAACTAAGTTTAGGAGACCTTAAATCACTTTGTTGAAGCTTTTGATTGATATGTTCCTAAATAAAGATTTAAAAAGAAGGCAGCCCGTTTGTTATTGATTGAAACCCTCTTTCTTGCTAAGGCAAATGCATAATGCAAAGGCCTTGCAGAAACCCCTGGATTTGCTGAATGGATGATGTAAGAAAACTTGGCGATGTGCAGTTTTTCTCCTCCTCAGTGCTGGGTGTGTAAGGAAGGGCTTGGCTTTGAAAAAGTTGCAAGAAGAGGAGATGAAGTTACATCAGAGCCACTCTGGTTTAAGAACATGGTGCCAAGCCCACCTGGCAGAATTAAACCATCAACAAAAAGACCAAAAATCACTAATATGAGATGAGAATAAGTTGGTGCAAAAGAGGAGACTCCTGTGCTATAGGAATCCCCAGACCTGGAGGTAGCTGGGACTGTGGTTTGCAGGCAGAATTTAGCCTTTTCTGCTTTTTGCTGGTGAAATGTTCAGAAAATAGGGACTGAAGCAGTACAATGCACAGCAGCAGAGCAAAACACAACAGGTATTGGCAAAGTCCACACAACAGGTATTGGCAAAGTCCACTGTTACCAGCAGGCTTGATTCAAGGGCCTGAGATAGCTCAGTAATTACAGTGCTTTCTGTAATCTTTAATCTTAGTTTAGCCTTACGTTTTTCATTCACACAGTTACAGAAATACAAAAACCCTGCCTCAGCACACTTTGTTCTGCCCAAGTCCACAAACATGAACTCAGGAGCCAAGATTTTAACCTGGTTAAGAGACAGTGATGAGCCTGTCATGATGGCTTTATGTATACACCTCATCTCCTGTCTCTTCTCCCACCTTCCTCCCCATGCTTAAATTTTACCCAAATGGCCAGGTTTGCCAGAGAGTTGGGAATAGCCACGATGCCAGGGCTGGGAACAGCCAAAATACCAGATTCCTACAAGTGTTATGAAAACTCCAACCAGAAAATCAACCAACCATGAAGCAGAGAGCAGATTTAGCAGTGACTCCAAGTGGAGACCTGACAACAAATTCAACCTTCACAAGTCACTTGGGGAACGCACACTGGAGTTGGCCATAGCCATGTGGGTCCCTCTGCAGCCACAGAGCAACTGGCCTTTGGTTCTTTCACATTGGCAGAAATCGGGATCAGTTGCACAAGAATGTTAAGCTGGCTCAGCAATGGATTAAAGCAGTCCTTAGGGGGTCACCTAAAAGTTGGGGTCTGCACTGTGGACCCATGCACCCATGTCCTGCTGTGCACACCCAGAGACATGGAACTCCCAAGCTTTGGCCCAATGGCTCTGTCTGTCTGCATGCCACGATGCAGAATATTTATAATGGGTTTTTAATCATGCTGCCTGCCAGCTATGGAGTCAATGATTAACCCCCGCCAAGGACATCTCCAGAAAGGCTGACTGAGCGGCACAGCCCACAGTGGGAAGCTTCAAGGGACAATTGCGCAAGAGAGAACAAACAGATGAAACAAGAAGAAAAAAAGACATTTCTGCTGTACGTTTGACCTGAGCATCCCCAGGGAACCTCCATTCTTCACTGCATCGCCTTGGTGCCAGGCAAGGTAAAAGGGCTGAAGAGCCTCCCTCGGCACTGCGCAGTCCCTGTGCCTGTGCCACAGGCCCAAAGCACCCTTTTGCCTCCATCTTGCCCTAGTTTTGCTCTAGCTAGCACACTGTGGGTCACACTGCAGCCAGTACTGGTTGCTGCACAGTGTGTTGGGCTTTTTGGGTGGGCTTGAAGACCCCCAAACACCCCCCAGAGCCCCACCAGGCTCTGTCTGCCTGCTGCTGCCTCAGCCGAAGGTAGGTCCCTGCGCTGGGGGAGCAGCAAGAGGGGACCCAGACCCCAAGAGCAGCTCAGGGGAAGAACAAACCCTTTCCACACACATTTGGCTGTAGGTTTTCCCCCCGTTTCCTTTTCCTCCTCAGAAAGCAGCACCAGCCACCCCCACTGCCATCGCGAGGCAGCGGCCGCATCATGGACCCCTGCCAGGAGGTGTTTCAGAAGCTGGAGAAGATCGGGGAGGGCACCTATGGCGTGGTGTACAAGGCTCGCAACAAGCGCACGGGGCAGCTGGTGGCCCTCAAGAAGATCCGCTTGGACTCGTGAGTGGGGAGAAGCCCAGGGCCCAGGAATGCCATGCACAGGGTGCTGAGGAGAGAGGGGGGTGAGGAAGGCAAATGGCTCCTCTGGGACCTAAGGCTGAAGGCCTGCCATGGGGGTGAGCAGTAGGGTCCTGAGCCCTGCAAGGGGCAAGAGGCTCAAAAAAGCCTGACCTGAGGGAAAGAAATGTCTCTTATCAGCTTATGCAAGCACCTAGGGCCTGACCCAGCCCTGCGTGGCTCTGGCTTCACAGCACAGGGCAGGGGGAAGCAGCCACCATTTTGGGAGGTGTCCTGTTCCTCAGGGGCATGGTGCCTGCAAGGCTCCGTCTCCCTCAGAGACAACTTCAAGGCTCAGGCCTTGAACTTGTCACTTCAGCCACTGTTGCTTCTCCAAGTGTGCCCTCAGGTGCTCCAAAACCAGCTCTGCCTCAGAGTTTGCACTGAGTCCACCCCTTCCTTCTCCTTCCCCACGGCTCCATTTCCCCCGCCTCACACACGGCTCCATCCCAGAGCCAGGGCGCTCGGTGTGAGACACGCTGGCCCACACAGGGTGATGGGGTACAGAGGGAGGGAGAAGGGACACAGGCTGTGGGATCCTGGGGGATGATGGGTGCTATGCAGCCTGTCTCTGCCACAGGGATACGGAGGGTGTCCCCAGCACTGCAATCCGAGAAATCTCACTGCTGAAGGAGCTGAAGCACCCCAACATAGTAAGGTAAGACCTGGATGAACCCTCCCCAGCAGCTCACCGGTGAGCTCCTGCTCTGGGAGCTCTGGGTACAGACAGCAAGAGAGGTTTTCCTGTCCTTCCTAACTGCAGGACAGGAGCCAAATAAAGAGGAAAATGCAGGAACCATTTACACTTCCCTGGTTCTCAGCAATAGCTCACAGCACTGCTACTTCACTCCAGCAACACAGGCTGGTCCAAGCTGCTGCTGTCCTATGCTAGATTCTGCTTTTGTATCTGCTTCTCTGTGCTCCAAAGGACTCCCAGAGCAGAGCAATCTGTGGGAGCAGGGATTTCTGGGTCTGGAGGAGGTGCTGAAAGGTACTGAAGGGAGCACTTGCATTTCTTTTGCAGGCTTCTGGATGTCATACACAACCAGAAGAAGCTCTATCTGGTGTTTGAGTATCTGAATCAGGACCTGAAGAAATACATGGACTCATCCCAAACCAGAGAGCTTCCTTTAAGCTTGGTCAAGGTAGAGTGTGGAAGGAATGCTAACAGGCAGGGCAGAAGGCATGTGTCCTTGCTGCCTTCTGCTGGGCAGAGCCAGCACTGAGCTGCTAATATGCAGACTGCATCTGAAGAGACTCATCCTTGGCTGAGGCATTCAACTTCTCAGATCTCAAACATTCCAGCTGGGAAACCCTCATGACACTATTGCTCAGTGCTTTTATTTCCCAGCTGTTTCCAGGCTCTCCAGCCCATCTCACTGCAGCACAAACTGCTCCTAAGAGGACAGCTGAGGGATCTATTACTAATTGCCTTGTTATGGAGCAATAGATGTGTGGAAGGAACTGCCACTGGACTGGAATCTACCTGTCTCCATGTAGGGTGGGAGCAGTTTGTGTGGGTCTCTGAGTAGTGGCCCACCAGCCTAGTGTTGCATTATAACAAGGTCTTTTTTCCCCTTCAGGTCTATAAATGAGATCCAGCCTTCAAAGCAGTTTCACTGTGGCCTTGTCTGAAATCTTTTCTCTCCATAGAACTACCTTTTCCAGCTGCTGCAGGGTGTGAGCTTCTGCCACTCACATAGAGTCATCCACAGGGACTTGAAGCCACAGAACTTGCTCATTAACGAAGCAGGAGTAATCAAGCTGGCTGATTTTGGGCTGGCAAGAGCTTTCGGTGTCCCCCTGCGCACGTACACTCATGAGGTACTGTTGAGGCTCTCTGCTACCTGAGAGTGGGGTACACAATCCATAGTGCATGAACAAAAGCAGCATCATAAGTTACTCATCCATAATGGAGGCACAGGCCTGCCCAGGCACGTGGTCTTAGCATCATCTGCAGCTACAGGGCTACCTCATGTCCCACAGAGTGTGCCGACTGCTTCTACCCTAGCCTGCCTGCAACCTGGGTTCCCACCTTCTCTGCATTGGGTATGTTTATTTGTTGCAGAGGCTCCTGTTGAAGGATGATCTGTTAATCCCAATCTTGCTGTCACTAAGGTATTTATTAATTCAGCAGGGCCTTGGCATGCTCTGATTTGTACAGTAACTGCATTACAGCTGAGCAGAGAGGATCCCATGCCTCTGGTTTCATCCAGGGAAACAATCAAAGCTTGTTTCTTTGTTCCTTACCAGGTAGTGACTCTGTGGTACCGAGCCCCTGAAATACTGTTGGGATGCAAATATTACTCAACCCCTGTGGATATCTGGAGCATCGGCTGCATCTTTGCAGAAATGGTAGAATGGGTTTAAATAGCCTTTTTAATGAGCAGGGAGGGTGCAGCTGCAATGGGAAGTGGGGAAGAAGGGGCAAGACATAGAGCATCTGTGATAGTGTGGTCCCACCCTATACTGGGGTGTGTTTTATGGGAAGTACACAAAATATGATCTTAATGTCCTTTCCAACTCAAACCTTTTATGATTCTGTGAGGGTTAGCTGATCTTTAACTGTGGGTTCAGAAGGAAATCTGCCACCCTCATGGGCCTGGCAGAAGGCAAAGCCTCTGTAGCCCAGCTGCAGTTCCAGGTATGTGGGAACTTGGTGCCTCCCCTTGCAGAAGGGGCAATTTCAATCTTTTTGCTGCAGCATTTTGATCCTGGGAGGAGATGCCTCTTGCAGATGTCCTCATAATAGGCTGCAGAGAACTAACACTCTCATAGCATGGCAGAGTGAATCTCCTTGGGGTTCATACACCACTTTGAAGAGCTCTTGTTATCCCTGCAGTGTAATAGCACTATCCCTAGCTCCTGAAGCTGCTGGAGCTGCCAAGCAGCAGATCCTGGGCAAGTAAGAGGGGAAGGAGCTAACCTGCAAGAATGGGTGTTAGGAAACTGGAGACAAAGAAGGATAAGGAACTGGCTGAAAGGGGAGCAGCCTCAGGGGAGCATGGGTCCATGGGTCCATGGAGAGGAGCTGGAGACAAGCAGCCAGACATCTGTGACTTTCCCAACCACTGACCTGTCTGTGCAGTTGTTTGCATCTGCTGGGACATAGGGCTGCTTACAGCAGGAAATAGAGCTGATAGAAAGGTAGGAATTGTCTTTCCCCCGCAGGTGACCAGGAAGGCCCTGTTTCCAGGGGACTCTGAGATCGATCAGCTCTTCCGGATCTTTCGCACTCTGGGCACTCCCACTGAGGAGACCTGGCCTGGAGCGACCCAGCTGCCTGAATACAAGGAGAACTTTCCCCGGTGGGCAGGGAAGGAGATGACAGAAATTGTTCCCAGCTTAGATCGAGATGGTAGAGACTTACTGGTGGTGAGTAACAAGTGCACTATTTTTAGGGACTCTGTTCTGACCAGAGTTGTCCGAACAAGACCCTGGGACATGCAGGACCTTTTCAAACTGGGAAAAGAACAGGAACATTTGGGACTGATCTGCCTGGATGTGCATTAGCTGACCTGGCTCTAATGCTCATCTCTGCCATTGCAAAAACAACAGATTATCAAACAGGGCTGAGTCCTGGCTGTAAAGCAGGACTGTCATTGCAGGTTCCTCTAGGAAACCACTGCATTGAGGGTCAAGAAACCACATAATTCCCATGGTAACCCCAGCTGTGGGTTACCCCCCCAAAGCTTGGAGAGGAGGAAAAGCAGGACCAACATCTCCATCTAGGACCACCACATGCAGGTACAATCAATCGTTTTGTTTTTAAACTGTTAATTCTTCTGGGTTTCCTCTTGGCAGCAATTGCTCCTGTATGACCCCAGCAAGCGCATCTCAGCCAAGGCAGCCCTCAGTCACCAGTACTTCTTCCAGAGAAGCCCTCGGAAGCCTGAAGAGCAACGTGTGCTGCAGAAACACTGCAGATGAGAAAATACATTTGGGATCCCTTCTCCTGAGGGGACATTCTTGCATTTAGAGACTCTCATCCTGTTTTCCTGGGGGAAAGTTTGAGTTATAGCCTGTAGAACCCTTTTAAATAGGTCACGTCCAAAAGTAGAGGGTTATTTATCCGTGTAAAACACTGAAATGCAAGAGATCATCGTTCAGAGGTTTGTCCTTGTGTTGGTGAGCTAAGGTGATGCAGTGATGTCTGCCAGCACTGGAGTCATCCCCACATCCCCAGCACCGGCACATCCCCAGGACTGCCAGTGGCAGTTTCTGACAGCAGGGTGTGCGGGGCTCCACTGTGGGGAGGAGAACACTTCTCTGCTCTGCTGCTGTTACCAAAGCCTTGGCTTGTCAGCACTAGACAAGTTGTTTAATCTGAGCTGTTTAACAAAGCTGGCATTCTGCTCTTTCACAAGCTTAATTCCACTGTATGATGTCTTAATTTGTACCTTAGCTGGGACCAAGAATCAGAAAGATCCAGTTAACATAAAGCACTTGTTGCATATGGCTGGAAACAGAAACAGTAACAGCTAGAGCACTGGTTGTCCACCATTGGTCCAGACATAATGATGTTTACTTCACTTTATTATCTTGAAATGTTTTTTGTTGTTCAAATGATTTGAGAATTGTCCCTAACTTTTGGTGTGGTTTTTACATCTTTTTCTTTTCAGTACAAAAGAAAAATAAAGGCCTGTCATTTGTTCAGAAGCCTTGTCATTTGTTCTTTGGTTGGGGCAGCCCATCAGCTAGTGAGGCAGCCAGTCTGGCTCATCCTTTTTCCCACCAGAGCTCTTGTCCTTTTCTTATCTCCTGTACTCTTTCTTTTATCCTTTCCAGCCCAAACCCTTGGCAGGTGCAGAGATGTGCTCTCACTTCCACTGTGGACATGGGGCTGATGGTTTCGCAGACCAGTGCTGTCTCAATGGTAAGATGGGCTTGCTTTCCATCAGAGGTTCCCACAAACCAGTTCAGTTACGTTCTACTTTTTAAATACCCAAAAGACAGATTTTTAACGTAGCAAAGACAAACTTCTGTGCTGCTGGTTTTCATTCACTCACACACGTGCCCTCCTAATGACTGTGATCCTCAGCATAAAAATGCTATCCCAAAAGTCATCACATTCATAGACTTTCATGACAGATAAACACTGCAGTAAAGGAGAGGGACACACAGAGCACACAGAGCTGTAGCAACACTCTCCTTCCGCATATACCACATACCAGAGAACTTTCACAGTGGAGGGAAAGCTTTAGAGTGCCTCCTGGAAAGCCCTCTCAACGCAAGACCTGCCTAAAGCCAAGTTCAGCTGTCCTTTGGCATCATAGAATCACAGAACAGTTAGGGTTGGAAAGAACCTTAAGATCATCCAATTCCAACCCCCCTGCCATGGGCAGGGACACCTCACACTAAACAATGTCACCTAAGGCTCTATCCAACCTGGCCTTGAGCACTGCCAGGGATGGAGCATTCACAACTTCCCTGGGCAACCCATTCCAGTGCCTCACTACCCTCACAGTAAAGAACTTCTTCCTTATATCCAATCTAAACTTCCCCTGTTTAAGTTTTAACCTGTTACCCTTTGTCCTATCACTGCAGTCCCTAATAAAAAGTACCTCCCCAGCATCCCTACAGCCCCCTTTCAGACACTGGAGCTGCTCTGAGGTCTCCACGCAGCCTTCTCTTCTCCAGGCTGAACAGCTCCAACTTTCTCAGCCTATCTTCATATGGGAGGTGCTCCAGCCCCTGATCATCCTCTTGGCCTCCTCTGGACTTGTTCCAACAGTTCCATGTCATTTTTATGTTGAGGACATCCTCCATCATTCATTCGTCTTCCCCACCCAACACGAGGCAGTGGGCGGCTCTGCTTTATTCCTGGCATCAAAAAAACCTTTGGAATCCCTATTGCAGCAGCCACACCTCCTGACAGATCCCAGCAACAAAACCCTAGGACAGCTCCTGACACATCCCAACAGTGAAACCCTGGGACAACTCCTGACAGATTCCCACAGCGAAACCCTGGGACATGTTGCTCACCTGCCCCTGGGCTGGGCTCAGCAGCAGCCTCCAGAGCTGTGTGGCAGGAAGGTTGAGAAGCTGTGCTCCTGCAGCATCTCATAACCTCTATGGGACAACATCCAGCTCACAGGGGCACATTTGTGAGACATGGATGAGTTCTGCTATGGGAATCATTTCCCTGCCCTTGCACCTTGCATGTGTTTTTTTAGGTTATCTCATTTCATAGAGACAATACTCTGTTGCTTGCTCTATGCAAGCAAACGCTTGTGTTGTACCAGACAAGCTGTTTTCAGAAAAAGTTGCCCAAGGCTCTGTCAAACCTGGCCTCGAACGCTGCAAGGGACGGAGCGTTTACCACTTTTTAGGCAAGCTGTGCCAGCGCCTCACCCCCCTCACAGGGAAGAACTTCTGCCTTATACCTAACCTGAGCTTCCCCTGCTTCAGTTCGAACCCATCACCCCTTGTCCTATCACTACAGTCCCTAATGAAGAGTCCCTCTCCAGCATCCTTATAGCTCCCTTCAGATACTGGAAGCTGCTCTGAGGTCTCCATACAGCATTCTTCCAGACCAAAAACATAAATAAAAATACTACAGCTCATCTAGCCCAATAAAATGATGCAACAGCCTGAATTTCAAATATTTGTGACCCAACCCCACTGCCAACAAAGGAACCCAACAATAGCTGTGTCGAAACACCCACTCCGGGAAAGCCATGATGTGGCAACATCACCCTTTGCACAGGAAGGGAGGAAAAGCAATACCTGGCTGCTGAGCAACTCACAACCCACCTGGGCTCTGGGGAAGCTCCACGGCTGTGTGGTGCTTCCTACAGACACATCAGGAATACATGATACCAGCTACTTTCTACAGGTGAGGACCACTTGGTACCAAAGAAAAGGGTTTTTATGGGGGTTTTATTCAGAAAGTAAAGGCAGACCAGCCTTGAAGGGAGCCTACTCAGGCACCTGATCATCTCTTAATGCCTTCACCCAGCCCTGGGTGAACACCTCCCACCTCACAGCTGGGGAACACTTTATCCACACTAATTAGCTGCCTGCCTAATTACCAGGACTCCAAGTCCTTCAGTTACAGAGCATTTCCCCAGAACCATTTAATCACTTCAGGAAAGAGTCACCACGTGAACATTGTGCATTAAAAGCAAGCACTGTTCTGTCTCCTTGGCAAGAGGTGCAGTCACACGGAACTGGGCAAGGGAAGGCTGAAGCAAACTCACCTGCTGGGCAGAGGTGAACTGCAGGAAGGCAACAGCCCTGCTGCTGGGATCTTCTCAGTGTCCTTCCCAGTGTTCAGCCAGATAAGGGGAGAAATCTGGAGCAGAGCAAGGCTGCTCCCAGCAGCTTTGAGGAGCTGGGACCCACACTGGTTTTGCTGGGATGTGATCCTCATCTGACTGTATTCCTGTGCTCCAGGGGCCGTTGGGTTTGCCCTGGCAGGAGATCAGGCAAGAATTCCGTTCCTGATGTGTCCCCTGGTCCAGACCAGCCAGGAGGGGAGCACAGTGCTCTACCAAGAGGAAACTGGGAATGCATGGATGCTCTAAGGTGTGTGCATCAGTTTTCCCCATTGTAAACCAACAAATTGCCCTGTGTTGATCATGGCAGCTGAGATGGCCATAGACACCAGCCATAGGCTTGACAATAAACACAGACCCTGCAGGGGATGGGACAGAGCCCAGGCCGATCTTGGACTGGAAATGGCATTTCTATACAGGACTCGACTGCTAATGTTGAGCACTACCACAGCCTACCAGCAGGAAGGGAACGGGACCTGTGACTGTGCTGAGCTTGCCAGCATGAGAACAATTTCTTCTTGGAGCAGACTTCAAATCCCAGCTAGGCTATATGGAAACAGAGGCTATGCTGCTGCCCTGATGGGGGAAGGAGAGGGATAAAACCTCTACCCTTATGGATTGTTTAGGGTGTGTTAGAGTTCCCAAACAATGTCAGCTAAAAGAGCCCTCGGGAGAGGGGGAGAAGCAGCTCATGTCAATAGAAACTCCTTTTTCTCATCCCACAAAGCCAGGGGACACTCCACAGTGGAGCCATGTCCTCAGCCACTTTGTGCCTCAGCCTGCAGAGACAACACAGCCACAGAGACACACTTTCTATGTTTATTGCATGCAGAAGAATGACCCAACTAGAAAACGCTCTGGCTCTTCCTCCTTTCTGGCCATGAACACATTTAACCTACTACCAGTGGAGTTCTCACAATCAACCCCCCTTTGCTGTCACAGCAGCGCCCGGGGGGCTGTGGAGACCCCTTTTACACGCTCACGATCACACTTTCTTCCTCGCACGGCCAAGCTGCATTGGGAAGCAGATAGCTAAGATAGGAGAGTGTGCAGCCCTAAATGCTAGATGCTCTGTTCCTGTGATCGCTGCTGCCTCCATGGGGAGGGGTGTTTTGAAGGGAAGAACTCCTAAAGGAACCAGATCCTGTATGTGCCTGAATCCATTCAGTGCCTGAACCGTGAGAGCTTGGGGGAACGGCTCGCCTGTTGGTACCGCTGATAACCCTCTGAGGTGGCTGGGAGCAGCAGGAAGCTGCTCAGAGAATCCTTCTGGCACAGGGCCATGGCCTCCTTGTAATTTATCTTCTCTTTAGTGATAGGGTCAATGAGATCCTTTTCATAGTTGGACTCATCCTGGAGCCTGTTGGCCAGGTTGCCTGTTATCATCCCTGTCTGGACAGCTTCCAGCACGGGGATGCGACCGGTTTTCTTGGGATCGATGAGCCCTCCAGTTAGATGCTGGACCTCTAGATAGGGGAAAGCACTCTCCTTGGTTATCCATCCCTTCTGAACTGCTTCCCCCACAGACAGCCTTCGCTTGGTCACCGGGTCCTCAATCCCTGTGAAAGCTTTCTGAGCATTAAGCAGTCTCTGCATGTAGGTCCTGTCAATCAGCCCCCTCTCAACTGCCTTATGGACTGAGAACCGGTCCCGAGAAATGAGGTCTATGATGCCCCCTGTGGCAGCCTGGGCTTCTAGGAGCTTCTGAG